AGGGATGGGCTTCATACTCGAGAGGGACTTACGATCGGGGAAGTACGGTACTTTAACGCAATTGGGCTTTCACTCTCAGAATACTGTAGTTCAGACGCATAAGGCTCTAACCTAAGTTTTAAAAAGCACATTGTGCATATAAAAGTCAAGTTTATACTAGTAGTACACAATGCTTGGCAGCATGAACGGCTATGTACAATGGCGTATATGAATGTGATCAGATACTAAAACGTCGTAGCTTTGAAAAGTACCCGGATGTTAAATATGTTCGTTCGTTATTTATTCCCCTCTTTGAATGGCCTCCATGGTGTTTAATTGCAAGCACTTCAAATGCCTATCCAAGCTACAGTTATAATTAAAACAAAATTAAACCACTGCAATATTATTTCGAATACAGTTTAAAATATACACAACTATAAATTAAGGCCGCATTTAGGTTCGCTTTAACTACAGATTGTGGTTACATTTTGGCTAGATTATATGTATATTTGTGGAGTTAATTAGTCTTTCCAAAAAATTTGTGAAATTAACAAAATTCTGAGAAAATTAGAGCAATTATATTATCACGAACAAGCAAAGTTTCGCTATTCTGTGCTGTGGAAATATACATGCCATAGTAGCACAAATCTTTAAATCAATATAAAAGTCCAGCGATAATCACTTGTGTCTGCTGACGCCAACCTAAAAGAAAGTATCATGGGATTATATATTATATATCAGTACTGAAAGCAATAGAATCTTCAGTTCTCTAAATAGCCATATCTGCATTTGGTCAAAAACATATCTGGCCGTTGAACATTATAATTTACCCTTATTTAGGATGAAGTTTGTTACCAACATTGGCACGTTCAAGATTATTGGTGAACATTTGAACACTTGGATGCAGAAGTGCTATTGCATGTGATGGAAATAGGATCCAGTCACTAAATGCCATATTTCTCTCATTGAATTATTACTAAACTAAGAAAAAAGATGTATAATTATATTGTTATCACAAGAATACTGCACTCGGGCAGCACAGGATCACATTGACCTCCGCTACATGTTTTAACAAATCATTCTGTTCTTTGAATAGCTTCACACTTAATAATTTGAACTGTCAATGTCATATCTATAGGTCTCTACGAGTTGACAACCAGATACGACCAATCAAAGATGGAGATAATGATGATGAAGACATAAAAGATGAAAATATTAAAGATGAAGAGCATGATTCAGACAGACAGACATCAGTACAGTCTCCTAACTCTATCGATGGTGGTGCAAGTAGTATTGATAGTGGACTGGAAACACAAACTACGTTTGAAGATTCTAGGTAAACTTAAATGTTTAATTTAGCAACTGGTTATGGTGTCATCTCTGAAAATTAAATAGCCATGCACCATGATTGCGACACAAGTCTATAGTGCTTTAAAATAATTTATTTTAGTTGGAATTAATTTTCCTTGAATAGACTTTTTTGGTGTTTTTTATGGAATTTATTTTCACAGATTTTTGACGAGTTGAATGAAAAATATAGAAAAAAAGTATATTCACTGGATTTTATTGATTTTATTTTCACTGAGTCATTCTTTCAGCGAAAATTAAGTATTCCACAGTAGTCTCCTCAGGATAATCTAGAAACCGTTGTCTCTATGTCAAAAACACTTTTTCATAAAAATTAGTCTACCATGGAATAACATAAAATTCCAATTTATTATGATTGCTCCAAATTTTAATGAAAGACGCAGTCACTGACCTCTGTCTATGCTTAAATCAAACATTTCACCATTAAACTGAGGCAAGGTTTATTAAAGCGGGTATTGATATTTTTCTGTATAGCCTCTCGTACTGTCATGACAAACACATTGTTGTTGTTTTTCCCTGTTGATCTGTGTTCTTTTGTCCAATGAAAAAAGTATCATGACTCAACACCAAGCATATCCTTAACATGCTATTTACTGGACGGACTAGAACTACTGACAGAACTAGTCACACTATCCCATATCACTATGATCCTTCAATACGACTCGTGGGCTCATACTGGTTTTCTTTTATGCAAAGAATAATGCTACCCACTGTTGTTGTACATATTTTTACCTTTAACTGTTGATTCCAACACTATTTGCCGAAGAACACTAGAATCAACTTTTTAAAGTGTAACTGAATTGGGACAATTACTTTCTTTGTGTGCAAAATTTATTTATAAACAACATTATGAAAAAAAAACAAGTGAAAAATGTACATAAATTAAATGAACGATCAATAATAATGTTCTGGATAAGGAAACGCCCACGTCCAATTTCTTGGCCGACTCAGAACGAGGCTTCAGCTAGAGAACCTAATTAGCATGCAAGGGTGATTTGTGACGTCACGGGGGGAACTTGTCATCGTTTCACAATGGCCGCTATACGCATGCAGTGCTCGGAAAGCGACACGGAATCTATCTTATCATCGTCTGACACTAACTACATTAAACCAAAGGTACGTCAGCCTTTAGCCGTCGCCTGTTAACCTTTCTGTAACGCAAAGGCAGTATTGTACTAACATGCATTAATACAAAGCTAGCTTTTGAGCGGTACTGTATGCACAGAAATTCCTCGATCACCCTGAAAGTTCACTCATTAGTATTCCTCCTTGTCAATAAATAATATTGCATGTTGTTACACTATTATTCTTCTTACTATTGCATTCGCATGTATACTTACACTGCATCTCTAATTTTCTATCTCCTTGTTAGCCTGTTAACTGCATCCTTATTACCAAGGGGTAATAGTAGCACTATAGCTTCATGTACTATTGAGGAACCAGGGTAGGTTTGACTATATCTACTAAATGTTGCCCATTCTATTTTGGTTTGTAATGTTATATGTCATACAGTCAAAGTTGGTGCTTTGTCGTCGTAGATTTAGAATATCAGTAATCATGGGTTGTTATTACCTCATTAAATGAAGTGGAAAATGTCTGTCCTTGTTGTTGTTGTTGTTGTTAATGTTGTGTTTGTTGTCATCTCCATGAAACCTTTTTTGTCGTTAAAATAACGCAACGAATTTTATGTGATTTTTGTTTTTCAAAATTGAATATTTAATTATCCAGTTTGGGCAACAAATCATTTGTTGAACATAAATGCTTATTTATACACTGCTGATCATGGGAACCAGATATTAGTATGGTAGTACAGACAAACCTGTCTATAATGACCACCCAAGGGATCAGGCCAAAGTGCCCACTTTCTGTGAAGCTTAGGCATATTTTAGTCAAATAGTGGTCTGAACGGGGCATGTATGAATAAATTAGTGGTAATGTGAAATAAACAAACATATGATGTCAAAGTTTGTTTTTTTGACGCTGTAAAAAAAAGCCCCGTCTTGTCTAAATTGAAAATGTTTTTACTATCATAGTTGTCAATGATTGCTGGCAGTTTTACTTTCCAGTACCGCATAACATCGTCATTGACATCACCACTTTCACCAGTCATAGTACTGAAGCCAATGCCATGACTTCTCCTAAACATTCCAACCGCCCGTTGGAAGCCTTGAAACTGCTGACTTTCAGATCTTAGGCAAATGATAAGGCCCTTTCTTGCATCATAGTCATTATTTGGGATTCTACTGGCTTTGGAATCTTTAAAAACCACTTCATGTCAGTTCATTGATCTCTTCATTGCCAGTCTTTCGAATTTTTCTTTTCTATTCACCGGAAACGTTTTCATCATAGTCTATCTCAAACTCCCCTTTCCGATTTAAGATCGGTTGAAGGTTTCTTATGGGTTGCTCGTCCCATCACAAATTTTTCAGATTTAAATTTTTTTCAAAGAAATTTTTGTTTTTGCATAAGCAGTTATTTTTACCAAGTTTATAGTGCCAGAGATACAAATGTGTCAGTCATCTTAGTAGTATTCATTGTCATGCATGGTTACGCACTATATGCAACTACAGTCGTCCAAAAAATGTAAACAAATGAGAATATCCACTATCTAAAAAAATAATAGGAGATTGCATGTAAATTTGAAACAAAATGATAATCAAATTTACAAAATCTATCACTTTTCAATAAAACTTAGTACATAGGTGCTCTGGGATACTCTACAAGCCTGTTTATTAATTGGTTGAAATATGTGTATGTTAATTGCACAAAGCTTTTCCAAAGATATCTCTATTTACCATATTGTTTTCACATCTCGAATTGCAGAACTATATTAGTTTCTAGGCTATGTGTTTCAAAACCTAATGTTTAATTGACTCCCATGTGCGAAGCACAAAATGGGAGTCTTTGCAGTTAGTGTGTCTGTATGTGTGTATGTGTGTATGTGTGTATGTGTGTGTGTATGTGTGTATGTGTGTCCGACTGTTCCACTGCTATCTCAAGAACCATACATCGGTTTTTGATGAAACTTGGTGCATAGATGCTCTGGGCCAATGCGCAGATTTGATTAGGTTTTGGTAAAAATCCATGCTCGTTAATTACCTAATTTGCATGATAATTAGCTAATTTTTAGCTGTTTATGACTGTTCCACTGATATCTAAAGAACCACTCATTGGATTTTGATGAAACTTGGTACATAGATGCTCTGAACATATGCGCAGATTTGATTAATTTTTGGTAAAAATCCGTGCATATTAATTACCTAATTTGCATGATAATTAGCTATTTTTTAGTGGTTCCATGACTGTTCCACTGATATCTAAACAACCACTCATTGGATTTTGATGAAACTTGGTACATAGATGCTCTGAACTAATGCTAGGTTTTGATTAGTTTTTGGTAATAATCCGTGGATACTAATTACCTAATTTGCATAATGATTAGTCAATTTTCGGTTTTTCCACTGATATCTCAAGTACTAATCATCACATTTCAATGAAACTTGGTACATAGATGTCATACGACACTGCACAGACCTGATAGTTTTTATGGTAATATCAGTACATATTAATTACCTAATTTGCATAATTAATTAATTTTCAGCATTTGATATAAGTAGTTAGCATTACATTTCAATGAAACTTG